AAGTTACCCATAATGCATTATGAACCTATATGACTAGATAAATGATTAATACATGGGAATAAGGGTGTACAAAATCAAATTAAAAATCAAATCAAATCGGGGAAAAATTCGACTAATGGTTTGGTTTGACTTGGTTAGATATTGGAAAAAATAAACATCGCATACTATATATACTTGGGTTGATTTGGTTTTAACATTAAAAAGTTAATCGAGACCAAACCAACCCGACATTTTATATATAATTTTTAAAATTTATTTATACATAAAAGTATATGTGATTTTTAAATATTACTTATACATTTTCTTAATTTTCATCTTTTAACATATTTTTTTCAAGTTTTTTGAGACTTAATTTTGAATGGTCCTATAAAGGTTATAATCAATAGATATTAGTAACTCTAATAAAGCTCAATTCAAAATCAAATTAATACTAATGCTAGCCAAAAAAAAATTAATTCAACACTAAGTGTCGTGCCGTAATTTGACTGTATTCAGAAAAATCACTTTTTTGAAATATTCTAAGTATAAAACAATTGGAGAAGAATACTTAGAAAAGAGTCGCCACTTAATTTTTTAAAGTAATTAAGAAAACTTATAATTTTCAAAGATTTAAACAGAAAAAATCATTTGAAAATATCAAAGAGGGTTCGGGGTTCAATTTACACTTCGAGAAGGGTTTAAGCATTCGAAGTGTCCGCTAACATGCGGTTGACCTGCGACTTGACTAAAATGTATTTGACTATTTTTTAGAAAAAATAATTTAACATAAAGAATATATAATAGTTTATACTATTCGATTAAGTTCGAGAAAATAATTAAGAAATGAACCATTTTTATTCTATCTTTTTAGAAAAAAGGGACCTAAGATGAAAATATTTGAATTAAGGTGCAAGTGATTTAGAAAATTAATAAAACTAGACTAATTGTAGAAAATTAATAAAACTAAACTGATTAGAATTTATTTAATAAATTAAACCAATTTAACACATTAAAACATGAAAATCATTTTAAATTACTTGAAGAATAAAAGTTTTGACTGACTTTTTGAGAAAATGACTAAGTTAAGTATTCATGATAATAATTTATAATATTAGATTAACTTTGAGAAAGTAGTTAAACCAAGAGCGATTTTTATTTTTTAAGAAAAATGGGACCTTAGTTGAAATATTTGAATTAGAGACAGGTAATAAGAATTTTAACGAAACTAAATTAGTTGGGTTTTTTATTTGAGTCATTTTTGGTTTATGAAAAACTATTTTTAAACTAATAATAAAAAAATAAAAATTGACTAAAGATTATAGATGAAAATACAAGAGTTGATAAAATAAGTTTTGTTAGAAACAAAACAACTCAGATAAATAGTTCGTCTTTTGGGGAATTCAACTAAGTTAATTAAAATTTCTATAGTTAGAGTTAAACAACAAATAATAAGTAATCACAATTAAATAATTAAAGAGTAAGGGAGAAATGGAATTTGGGCCTTTCTTAGGCCAAATTCGCTACTTTTTTGGGGTTTAAACAAAACCCGTTTTTGGTATACAGCTCATGTATATCAGTGTATATCGGCATGTATATCAGCCCTTTTTATGGGTGTATATCGGCGTATATCGGCATGTATATCAGCCCTTTTTATGTATTTCTTGCTTCCAAACACCTGTATTTCGCCTCAGCTCTGTATTTTCACATTTTTTGACCGGTATATCAATATTTCACTGTGTATACTAGTATATACTGCCGTATATAGGAACATTCAGCCTGTTCTGGACTTTTCGGGCACTTAAGTTTCAATTTCTTGCCCTATTTGCTGCCTTCAACCTGTTTCGTTACTCCACGATTTGAAATGGGGAGGGGGGCTGACTCGAGGAAAACTGTTGGATTTGATCCAACAAGACGATGCGAGGAGGAAAGGGGAGTCCCAAATCAGACTCGGTACAAAGAGATTCATGCAAGGAAATGAACAATAAGGATTAGAATGATAATTTAAACAAATCAAAATTGTTCATAGCTAATGATAAGAGACACATTATCAAAAGCATCTAATGAGCTACAACAAAATGAATTAATATATTAAATTTAAACGTCTACAAGTAACGAGTCAAGCATTTGTCAAGGTAGAAACAAACACAGATGCTGGACATGTGTATGGAGACCCATGCATACAAAATATTTAAGACTCCACCAAATAAAGGAAAGGAACTTTTAACGTATATGAGGACAAATGAATTAACATCTATTCAAACCTATCACCATATTGTAACAAAATAAACATGACTCATATGAACCGAGGCAAGGCAAAAAATTTCCAATTAGACATATAACTCTAATAAAACAATTTTAAACTATACATGTAACTCTAATATAAACAAAGAGCCGGAAAAAAAAATAATCAAGGTTGCATATCTATTAGGTAGCATATATAGAGCACCTTGAATTCAACAACATTTGTAGCAAGTGCTAATATCACGATGTCATGCACATATCCTGGACTAAAAATGAGAATTGATTTGGAGGCAAAATATTACTAACAAAAAAAATTTCAGCCACCAACACCAACATATTTAAACAATTGAATACATATAAACACTACTAGAAATTTGACCTACTGCAACACTTTTTCGGCAACAATTTTACAACCGTGGCAATAGAGTATGTGTTGCCACAATTATGACCGTTGCCATATATCTTTAGAACTAATAGAGTAATTCTTAATATAAACCGTGGCATTATCTATATTATCGCTGCTATAGATTATCTATGGCCACATACTTATTAACCGTGGCAAAATAGCACATGTGGCAACGGTTTATTTAAGTGAAAAGTAAAAATAAATTGCCCAACCCGGGAATTTTATGTGTAATAAATTATTTCCCTCCACTTATTTCATTGACCCGCACTTTTTTTTATTTTAGTGAACAAAATACATTCTAAATACCCATTCCATTTCTCCAATAAACCAAAATCAAAGCGATGAGTGCATGGTCTTCTTCTCCAATAATCAAAATTAAAGCCCTAAAATTCCAGAACTTCGGTGACTCCTTCATCTTCGACAGCAAATTTTGAGCTCCGGTGAAGAAATCAGTTTCAGTGATAAGCTACAGTGGTCTTCTTCTCCAGTGTGAAGTGTTCATCTTCAGTGGTCTTCTTCTCCAAAAGTAGTCTTATTCAAAATTAAGCTTCTGCAGATAAAGGAATACTGTTTTTAAGGTGATTTCTAAGTCCTCATTGTCTCTATTTGGTTATACATGTACTATTTTCCAAAATCAGAAATTCCATTTAAGGGCTTCTAAAAAATTTTAAAGAATAACAAATGGGTTTGTTGAAATGTATGTTATTTGTTCTGATTTAGGTCTATTTGACATAATCCATTTGTAGTTTAGAGTTTGTAACTCAAATTTTTTGAAGATTCGATAACTCTGTGAAAAATCATTGTGAAGTTGGGTTTCGTTTTTATAGAACAACTAATGTTTTGTAGTTGATTTTGTCCTAGGGCTTTGAGTATTTTGATTTGCATTATGAGTTTGGTCTATTTATGTGAACTAAAAACTTTCATTGGTCTAAAGTTTGAAGTATTTTGATTTGCTTATCATTATGAATGTTGCCAAAGTATACTGATATAGCTACTGTCATAGATGATACGTTTAAGTTGAACAAAATATGTTTTAAACTGATGTGGAATATATATAAAATAATTGGTGAAAACTCCATTTTATTGGATTTTGGATGTTGAAACCTATTGCTCATGTTTTCTCTTTTAATTTTTAATATTATCTACGTAATGACTATTCTAGTATGTTTATTTATGTGTTGGAAAAATTTTATGTTCCTAAGCTTCCATGTTCTGGAAAACCACAATGTATGCATCTGTTTCATCACTTTATGACCATTGTGATTTCTGTAGTTTTATGGCTGATAAGAAGTACGTTTTCGACATCTCTATCCTCCAAGGTATAGAAACTTCACATTCCCTTTAAGTGGAGCATTTTATTTTTGTTGCCGGAACTTTGCTAGCAACTTGTTCTAAATAGGCCAAGCATAATATAACTCTTTGTCTATGCAGCATAATAGTGTTCCAGATCATTTCTCCTTTCCTCAACCTAGTGAGTTCACCTAATATTATCGTAGTTGTTGTGAATGAATATGTAGTAGATGCAGTAAAGATGTAGTGCCCTCTGTTATATCAATTATACTCTTGCTCATTAGCTCTAGGATATGTACTACCCTGGGATACTTTCATATGTACTGCTGTTTGGTTAATAGTTTAAAGTGATCTAAAATGTTCTCATCAGGACATTTCTTGAAAACCAAGTTCTAAATTTGACAGGAGCAACATTACACTCAACAGAATAATGAATTACAGGAAATCATGCCCTTGCATAAATTTTTTCAACCCACAGAATAATGAATTACAGGAAATGTGAATAACATTTATTGATTGCTAAACTGCCAAAACAAAAGATAATTACCTCATTTTCGCTAGATAGATTCAACTTCTTCATCAAGTATTTTGGATGAACAAAGCTGGAATATTGCTATCGCTGCAGTAGAATGTAAAATATATGAATACAATTATACAATCATGAGCTATACCTTTCAGTGAAAAGCAAAAAAGGTGCATAGATGCTTCTCAAATTCTCAAGCTAAAGGCAACTTAAATCAAATGCTAAATTTGTCCTCACAGCACACTTTATGCAATCATGTTGTTTTTTTGTTTAGAATTAATCTAAATGTACTCAGACTTAAAGCATAACCAACTTGAAGGTCAGCTCAAGTGATCTTGAAAAGAAACAAAGTAGTCACCATAATCTGTCATTTTTTCTGTGTTGTAAGGCAGTACCTGCAATGTACTATAGAATAAATTGAGGAATTAAACTTTCAAGTAAAATATAGGTTATGTAACTAAATTGCACTACCTAATGACCTATATTAGATCATTTACAATCATGATTTGTACTCATGAATTGTTTTGTTGAATGTTTTGCTCATGTAACATAGGATATCCAATGGATGTTGGAGATAAAAGTTGGATGGATCTCCGAAGATCCACCGATGAGTATATTCATGGAGTTAATGATTTCCTAGATAAGGCATTTGAACGAGCTTCCCAAGGAGATGAAATATTATGTCCTTGTAAAAAGTGCTTTAATCGTTATTGGCATTGTCGAAATGTGGTAGAGGATCACTTGATTTGTTATGGGTTTGTTCATGGATACACCAAATGGGTTTTCCATGAAGAAGGGTTTTCCTCAAGAAATACGCCACATCCAACCAATGATGATGAAACATTCGGCAGACAAGACGGTATTGATAAACTACTTCTAGATACTTTTAGAAATGTAGCAGATGACCTGAGGCATGAAGGAGTAAGAGAGGGACTATCTGAAGATGCAAAAAGATTCTTTAAATTAGTGGAAGAAGGGAAACAAGAGTTGTATCCAAGGTGTAAGAACTTTTCTAAGTTGAATTTCACCATTCGGTTATACTTGTTTAAATGCATTCACAAGTTGAGTAATGTAGCCTTTTCAGATTTGTTAGACTTGATAAAAGAGGCATTTCCCTTTGCTCAGATACCCGAGTCTTTCTACAAGGCAAAAAAGGTGATAAAAGATTTGGGTCTTCATTATGAAAAAATTCATGCATGTACTAACGATTGCATGTTATTCTGGAATGACACTGCAAAGTTAGACAAGTGCTCAGTGTGTGGATCTTCTAGATGGAAGAATGTTCGTGATGACTTGACTAATAAGGTCACTAAAATTCCAGCAAAGGTTTTAAGGTACTTTCCTTTAAAACCTAGGCTTCAGAGGATATTCATGTGTTTTGAAACATCTGTAGCTATGAGATGGCATGATACTGAACGACCCAAAGATGGAAATTTAAGACATCCTGCTGATGGGGAAGCTTGGAAGGATTTTGATTCCTTGCACCCTGACTTTGCTAGTGATGCTCATAATGTTAGATTGGGTCTTTCAAGCGATGGTTTTAATCCATTCCGAACTATGAGCATTTCCCATAGCACATGGCCAGTTATGTTGATGAATTATAACTTATCACCGTGGATTTGCATGAAGTCGGAGTATATAATGTTGTCAATGATTATTCCAGGTCCATCGTCTCCTGGAAATGATATAGATGTATACTTACAACCACTGATTGCAGAGTTGAAGGAACTATGGGAAGTGGGAGTGGAAACATATGATGTTGTAACTAATCAAAACATTTATGATGCGTGCAGCTTTATTGTGGACAATTAGTGATTTTCCAGCATTGGCAATGCTTTCCGGATGGAGTACCAAGGGGAAATGGGCATGCCCCACTTGTAATCACAATACTTGTTCCCAATATCTCAAACATAGTCGTAAGATGTGTTATATGGGTCATCGAGCATTTTTACCTCATGATCATCCATATAGAAGAGATAAAAAATCCTTTAATGGTAAAGAAGAGCATAAAGTTGCACCTACTCCCTTATCAGGCGTACAAGTTCTTGAAGAACTTCGTGAATTCAATAATGTTTTTGGAAAGAGCCAAAAGAAAAGAAAACGAAAGAATGATGGTCCATGGAAAAAAATCCATATTTTTTGAGTTGCCGTATTGGGCAACCAACAAATTGAGGCACAATCTTGATGTGATGCACATAGAGAAGAATATTTGTGACACTTTGCTTGGGACTTTATTGGATATACTTGGAAAGTCCAAAGATCATATAAACTCTCGCTATGACTTACATGAGATGGGGATACGCAAAGAGCTTCAACCAGTAAAAGATTATGATACTGGAAATATTCATTTGGCTAAAGCTTGTTTCTCTATGAAACCAGAGGAGAAAAGATTATTTTGCACTGTTTTAAAAGATGCCAAATTACCAAAAGAATTTGCCTCTAATATATCAAGTCGTGTGCAAATTGAAGATATGAAAGTATCAGGATACAAAAACCATGATGCTCATTTCATATTACATTACTTGCTCCAGATTGCTGTCAGAAAAGTGTTGCCCAAGAATGTGTCTTTGGTCTTGATTAGGTTGGGAAATTATTTTAGAGCCATATGTAGTAAGGTTATAAGAAGAAGTGATCTTGAGAAGATGAAGGATGAAATCATAGATATAGAATGTGAGCTTGAAAAGATTTTTCCTCCATCCTTTTTTGATATAATGACACATTTGCCTATTCATTTAGTGGATGAAATTAAGCTTGGAGGCCCGACTCATTTGCGTTGGATGTATTCTACTGAAAGAACTATGTGTGACTTCAAGGGGCTTGTTCGTAATCGAAAAAATCCAGAAGGGGCAATAGTAGAGGGTTTTTTCAGCTATAGAGTGTTTGACCTTTATTTCGAGATACCTACCTGATATAGTGAAGACAACATTTTAGTAGGTATCAAACCGAGGATGATGAGGACAATCAAACAGAGGAAAGAGATGCTTCACCTTTATTTCCTAAGACAGGTCATCCAATCGGAAGTATGAATAATAGGAAAGGAAAGACTTTTAACATGGAGCATCATGAGTGGTTTGAAGCTCATCGATATGCTTTGTTCAATACTGGAGATGAAAAAGTAGAGACATTCATAAAGTAAGATAAAATAGTCATTTGTTTTTAAAAATCATTTATATGTTATGATAATGTGTTTTAAATTCCATTAATAAATATACATTGTTTAAATTGCATATCATGCTTGCAGGGAACATAAGAATTTAATTGATAATCGTACCAGAGGAAATGCATGGGTAAAAGCACAGATCCATAGTAGAGAATTCAGTGATTGGTTTAGGGATAAAGTTAAAAATATTGAAGTGTCCAATCACTTAAGATGGCTAGCTAAAGGGCCTAATTTTGTGGCTAAAAGATATACTGGATATTTTATTAATGGATATAGATTTCATACAAAGACACGGGATGATCCTTGCAAGACTCAAAATAGTGGAGTGACTTTGTCAGCAACAACAGATAGTTTTGCTAGTGCTAGGGACCAAAATCCTATTGATGGAATGGTTATCTATTACGGAATTATTCAGGATATCATTGAGATTGATTATTGGTGTTGCTTTAGTGTTGTACTTTTTAGATGTGATTGGTTTCATAATGAAGTTGATGAATATGGATTGACTCGGGTATACTTCAATAAAATATGCAGCACAAATGATCCTTTTGTACTAGCATCTCAAGTGCATCAAGTTTTTTATGTGGAAGACCCAATTGAGAAAAATGTATATTATGCAAGAAATAAAGTCCCAGTGGATTTGTATGATTTGGAGGAAGAGAATTGTCCTAATATTGAAGAAACATTTTGGCGAGAGACTAATGATGACATTGGTTCATCAGAAAGAGTGCTCGATGTAGATGTTAGATGGTCGAGAGAAGATCTCCCTGTTGATATCATTGATCTGCCT